TGGCCAGGCGGGCCCTGGACCGGGAAGCAGGGCCTTCGCCGGCCCACCTGCCGCAGGGACGCGTGGTTTTCACGGGACTTTGACGTGCTCTCACCGGGAGAGGTCACGGGTCCTGGTGCGCCGATGGAAGATGAGAGAGAGAGCGCTTAAACACTCCGGCCATGAAAGGCACTGTCCACAGGGACTGGTTCTTGATCGAAAGTCCCCAGCGACTCGGGACAGGCCTGCTGGGTTGAGGGGTGGAGGCGTTTTTGCTTTGTGTCCGCACCGTCCCTCCTGACACAGCTGAGCAGCCTGCTGGCAGCTCCCGCGGGGGCGGGGTTGGGGTTCCTGCCTCAGCGCGGCCTTGTGAGTGTGTGAGTGTGACCACGGGGGCCAGGCCGGTGCCTGGAAGTTCCACGTGTGGGTCTCTTCCTGCAGGGAGATGACAGTCTGTCGGCGATTACCTTCGACTCCGACTTTGAGACGGTGAGTGGATCGGGAGGCCCGCGGGGCCGTGCTGGTGACTTCCCTTCCGCTCCTCAGCGTGCAGCGGCACTCCCTGCACGGCTGCGTGCAGACCTGGAGCCCGGATCCCAGATGCCTCTGAAAGCGGCAGGTCCTTAGCTGAGTAGCTGTGACTGTCAGTGCCAAGCTTGTGTTCAGAAGCTGGTCCTGCGCAGTGGGCAGGTTCCCATCCTGCATCTGGTGTCGGCCCCGCCCCCAGCCCCCAGTTCTGACCGGTGAGGGGAGGGAGCAGGGCTCAGGGTGAGGTCAGGGCAGCTGTGGGAGAAAGGATGCCGTGAGCTGCACGCGGGGTCCTGGCCAGTCCCAGCCCGAGGAGCGGAGGCAGCAGGTCGGGCAGGTCTGGTCCGGGCACCTGTGGACCCTCGGCCCCCGGGTTGTTTGGAGAATGGAGCCGGCTCCCTGCGCTGGTGGGAGAGAGGAGCCGGCTCCCAGCTGGGCATTCCAGCAAGCCCACTGCCCCCATGGCAGCTGACTCCCCACACCGCACTCCCCCCGTTCTGCGGCCGTTGTCTGGTGGGAGGGCCATTGCAGGGTGAAGAACTGTCCCCCAGCCCTGCTGAGGGACGGGCCAGCAGTCTCAGCTGAAGTCCAACTGCCTGGGACAGACCTGGTGCCTCGGCCGAGGCCAAGTGAGGGGTCCCTGCCGGGGAAGCCTGAGGCCACAGGGCCCGAGGCGGGCAGCCCAGGGGCTCGGCTCTGCGTCGCCACCCTGCTTGTCCCACCAGCTCTCCAGACACACTCTCTCTTCTCCTGGTCACGAGGTCTCAGCTGCCTGAGCCCACCCTGGGGACAGTCACACCGCCATCCAGGCCTGAGGACAGTTGGGGGGGCAGGTCCACCACTTGTGCAGCGTTTCCAGCTGAATTTAAGGCTCCCACATCCCCCGTGTCTGTGATGTGACTGGAGCCACCACACCTCAGGGACCCTCCTCAGCTGCAGCCCACGGGGGCCCCGGGTTTGGTGGCACCCCCTGAACCACGTGGGCCCTGTGTTCAGTGGCACCCCCTGAGCCACGTGGGCCCCAGGTTTGGTGGCACCCCCTGAGCCTGTGGGCCTTGCTCTGCTCGGCCTGCAGGTCAGTCTACCGTCGCTGCCCTCACACCCCACCCTGAGCAGCCAGGGCTTGGCCGGGCGTGGGACTCACCTGCTGCCCCCGGCTCTCCTTTCTTCCAGAAAACAAAGAGGAAAAGTGTCCACAAACCTCCACCCACATCGCCCAGTAAGTACAGCCGGGCGCCTGGCCCCCAGTTTCCTGGGGAAGGGGCTGCTGGGGGGGGCATCCTGGGTCCTGGGAGGGAGGCCCAGCCCAGCAGCTCCTGAGCCGTGGCCCGAGCCTTCGAGCCGCCAGCACCGCACTCCTGGGCCTCCGGCTGGGTTTCTCCTTGCTCGACGCTCAGCAACCTGGGAGGAGCGCATGTTGGAGGCCGGTGCTGCCCTGACCCTGCGCTGGCTTCTAGAGTCGCCGTATCACTGCAAGCCGAGGACCGCAGCCAGCGGGCGGCCCCCGGGGAGGG